GACATGTCATTTCTATTTTGACACCATAAACCCCTTAGGTTTTTATTAATTTTTTCATAATTTAAAGTTATATTCATTTTTACCAATTAAAAAGTTCTGAAGTTTTCAGTAGCAAATACCATTAAACTAATATATATTTGTGCATACACACGTAATTAGAAATCATCCATGGCACCTCCCGCCAAGCTAAAAAAAGGGTAAAAGTCAACCAGGGAATAAATAGCCGCTTACTTTTGAGACGTAACACAGGGCAGAAGGAACTAACATCTTAACATTAGAAAAATCTTCCATGATACCAATATCAAGCTATAGTATCTTTTCTCCTTTTTAAAAAGATTTATTTCCATCTGACCGTGTGAAACTGACGTAATCGCCAATTAGAGCCCCACACAATTATTTTGCCAATCAATTTACATTTCTCCTTAACAAGCCTGACAGCTACTTTTAAACAAAACGTTATGAAATATTCTCCAATTAAGTAAAGAATTATTTAACAGATAAATATTCTTAATGGGGCTCTCTCGTGGTTGTAAATGAGCTGTGCACCTGATTAAACCTCACAAGTTTGTCTGCACTAGTGTAATTTTTACAAATGAGATAGAATGGAGGGATCGTAAAGAATGAATTAATCACGAAACGATCAGGAGTTCGGTCACACAAGAGCTCATTATTCACATTGGTTAAGTTGGAGAAGGAACTATTACTACCGTACAATATACGGAGGTCTTCAAGATCTGTGTGGGGCAATTTCCTCCACTGGACCCTTGTCGATTCCAGTGCAGGCGGTAACCACCGTTCAGGGAAGCCCACCTTCTGAGACATGTGACAACATGACATACCCACCTTCCGGCACACGGCACATCTACCAGAGTCTCTGTCCGGAACGAGATTTTCTATCGTTACAAGTCCTAAGGTCAAGGGGGGCCTGGATGGCTCAGTAGGTCAAGCGTCCGACTCTTGGTTTTGGCTCAGGTCATGATTTCACGGTTCATGACTTCCGGCCCCGTGTCAGGCTCTGTACGGACAGTGCAGAGCCTGCTTGGGATTCTCTCTCTCCCTCTCTCTCTCTCTCTCTCTCTCTGCCCCTCCCCTGCTCTCTGTCTCTCTCAAAATAAATGAATTAAATGAAATCAAAGGGAAAAAAAAAAGAAGTCTTAAGGTAATGATAGTGAATGTCCCAGACGCTCGAAAACCAGTTTTCATATAAGATCACCCAAACACAGAACACTTGTCAGTGCAGAGCACGCACAGCCTGGAAAAACCAGGGAGGGAGTCTCCGTGTGAACGGGAATTTATCTCAAAAGGTACTGGGCACATACCGTGTGCCAGGCGTTGGAAGGTCCCCGGGGGTACAAAGATCAGTCCCCTATTTTCAAGGACCTCAGTCCAGGGAGGGCCACAGGGCATCACTGGAGCATGGAGAGGCTGGCCCGACGGGGGAAGAGGCTTCGTCCAGAGGGGATGCCGGAGCCCTCCGAAGGAAGGGAGCCCTTCTGGGGGTCGCTCACTCCAGGGCGCCCACACCTGCCGCTGCGACCACCCAGTGACAGCCAGTCTCGGTGCATTCACCTGAGGCGTGCCTGTGGAACAAGCATAACCCAAACCAAAGATGTCCTCGTGCTGGTTATGAAAGAGCGGCTCAGAGCACAGAGCTGGGCAGGGGGACAGCAGCAGTGCAGGCAGCGGTGGCTTTTGTATGGATGTTAAAGTGATTCGATTGTATCAGCAGTGCGATGCTAAGAAGAGGCCAGGTGACGTTTAGATCCTACAACTCTACACGGAGATCTTTTTTTAAAAATATCTTCTTGGGGCGCCTGGGTGGCTCAGTCAGTTAAGCGTCCGACT